GCTGAATTTTAGGGTCAATACAATCAATCTATGTAAGAATTTTTCTGAAATTAACTGACCATTAGAATGAATTTCAGACTAAAAAAGCCATTAGTGGCTAATCAGTGTTCTGACTCATGCCAGTGAATCAGCATGGCTGGTAGCTACTTTTTTCCAGTAACTCTTATTGCAGCAACACCAAATTAGGGTTACAGGGAGACCCAAGCTGGCAAACCAGATAGTAATACACAATTAGCATCTCCAGGAACTCTTCTGCCAGTCCATTCCATTCCATTAGCCTTGTCAAATAGTTATGTTAGTTCCTGAAGCTAATTACCTATCCATTAGTAACACAACTTAAGGAAATCTAATTGTAAGATGGGAATTTTTCATGTTCTTTTCTTCCATGCTATGTTGTGCCTTAGACCTTTTAAGATGAGAAACTCTGTAAGTTTTCAGATGTGTCAATTCACAGTTTGTATCACTTGTGTTACCATAAAACTGTATTCTGCTGGTGGTCAACATGCCAATATTAAGTCTAATATCTGAGCTGCAATTTGAGGCTGTACTGAAAACAAAAAAAAAAAACAAACAAAGAACAGCCCATTCCACGCAGACTTCTGGAAGTGATGTGTCACAGCTGTCTCACTGAGCACTCAAGGTTGTATTTGGATGAGATTACCTGTGTGCATGTCTTTGTATTCTGCTCCAAAATGCCTCCACTGGAAACCATACACTGGTCCCAAATCACCCTCCTCTCTGGTGCTGAAACCCTGCTTATCCAGGAACTCACGCGACCCATTAGCATCCCAAATCTTCACACCTTTTGCAGAAAGCTCCTTGGCATTTGTAGAACCCTACAAAACACAGTGAGAAGTCTGCATCCTAATTCCAACACAGAGGAAATGGTTTAAAACAGCTCTATTAAGCTTTGCTAGTCCAGTATTTCTCCACTCCTAAAGGAAGAACAGTGTAATTAATGTACAGGATGAGGTTTTTGCACATGGACAGAACAAAACTTGTGAGCAACATCCTGGGCTGAAGTTTGAAGTGCCATGCTGCTATTGTTTAACTCTGGGTTCTCATACTTTGTGAATGCACAAACAGCCTTAAGATCAGTTGTGGGATGTCATTTCATATTTGCTGAGAACAAGATGTTATTTTACAGATTGATGCAAATAGACTGACAAAAAATGTAAGACCTAAGCACGGTCTTCGCCAAGCCACCTATAGTAGGCTTAAGGTCTTAAAAATCCTTTTGTTAAAATGACAAAAATGAGAAAATAACCCAAAAAATGTCACTGAATCCTACAAGAGGTCCAAATCAGGACACTAAAAAATCCAACACAGAAATGATGCTGTTTTGCAGAGTGTCTAGTCTTTCACATTTGAAAAAAAACCAAACAAAAAACCAACCCAAAACAAAACCAAAAGCTTTTAAAAAATGAATGTGTATTTCATTCTTGCTATATAGGAAATGGTTATGTAGACTCTCCCATACCAGAAAAATATCACAACATATAAAGGAACATTTATATTGCAATGAACTACCTATCATTGAATTTTATTACACTAGGTTCAGCTATTAGCTCTGTTAGATCTCATTTTTTTGCTACTAAAAAGCCTAACATTTACATCAGTCTTACTTCATACGTGGTTCCACACTGCTTCTTTCTGTTCAAATCAAGCTATCTCAGTATTAAAAAGCAGATCATTAAACTGCCTACTATCTATCTCATATTATTAATTCTCTCATATTATTAATTCTGATTAGAACACCAGAAAAAGAGACTGTATTAGGCTTTATAACTGTGGAGTATATTCAAATTAGCCCAAGCCCTCATTATTTCAAATTTTCTCCCTTAAAAAGAAATAGGAGAGAAACTGTTCTGATCCTACTGGTAGCAAGTCTGCACTAAAATCCAGAATGTCTTGAAGATTCGCCTTCCATGTGTGGTCACAGCATTAGGGGGTTGTACTTCTTTTGTCACAGGAACAGAAGCATCTGCAGTTGCCCAAATGCCTTAATGCTGCCCACTAGTTCGCTCTGTTTACACCACTCTCGGGCCCACCACCCACAGAGACACTCAAATACCGAACCTTTATGAACCACAGCAACTCCTCCAGCACTCCCTTCCAGAACACCCGCTTCGTTGTGAGCAGTGGAAACTGATCTGCAAAAGAGTTCAGAGTGTCAGCGGGGACCAGCCATTTGCCAGGGGGAACAGACTTCAGCTTTCCCCCACAGAGGGCAATGCCACCACCTGGCACTGGGAGGTGGGGATATGAAGCAAGGAGTTGCTAGAGGATGCGTAACTCCCGTGTTCAGATCCCTCGGGTGGGAAGGAACGGGACAGCCCCGGCCTGTGAGACCCCCACACTCAGCCCGGCTCAGGGCAGTGCCGCTGGAGCCGCGGTGGGCAGGGGCAGGAGCGGTAGAAGGGGCAGGAGCAAGAAGCAAGTGCAGGGGGCCGGGGGTCCCGGCGGTGCGCACCTCTCAGGCTGTACCGCGCCTGCATGCCGAACACGGAGATGGTGCCGGTGCCGGTGCGATCCTCCCGCCGGTGGCCGTGCTGCAGGATGTGCCGCACCTGCTGCAGGTACTGCTGCTCGCCGAGCTCCGGGCTGGCGGCGGCAGCGCTCAGCATCTCCCCGTCGGCGGGCATGGTGGGCGAGCGGCTCTGCGGACGCGCCGAGCTCCTGCTGCGCGCTGCGCTCCCGAGCCCGCCAAAGCAAACCCCGCTTTCCCGCCAAAGCCCGTATTTCCCGCCAAAAGGAGCTGAGGGGCGGACGGGGCGGAGCGGCACCACCGCTACCTCCTCTCTCGTCCGTCTCTTTCCCTTTCCCCCTCACCTTCCTCTTCCAATAGCCAGGGGTCCTCAGCACCGCCTCGTCCGCAGCCGCACGCTGCGGTCCCGCACGGAGCTGTTCCTCCTGAGGGAGGGCTGGCCCGAGCCAGTGCCCCGAACCATACCGGCTCGTTTAGGTTGGATATTTGGAGGAGTTTCTCCACAGAAAGCTTGATCACATATCGGGATGGGCTGCCCAGGCAGGTGGTGGAGCCACCGTCCCTGGAGGTGTTTGAGGAAAGACAAGGTGGCATGGTCTAGTTGACACGGCGGTGTTCCGTCAGAGGTGGGACCCAGTGAGCTCAGAGGTCTTTTTGTACGTGATTGATTGTGTGATTCTGTGACTTCGTTCTGCTCTAGCGGCGCCATAAGCGCTCTCCAGGTTCATCCCGTGCTGAAAAGTGCTGTTGGCATTTGTCTTCTCCCTCTCTCTGCAGCCTCAGGCATCCCATTTTGGAGCTGAACAAGACCAAAGCCTTCCGCTGGGCCTGGCAGGCCACACGCATCTGGCACTAGATCCCCCCAGGCAGGATATCCCGAACGGCCAGAGCCCCTGTGGCAGCCTCCCTTGTCCCCCCTGCAGTGCCGTGCCCCATGCACAGCTCACCTTCCATCCCCATCAGTGTCACCCTGACCTGCGCTTCTGCAGCCAGGCTCCTTTCATGCCATGCCGTGTCATCATCTTCCCGCTTCCTATTTTATTGGCACGTTTGCTGCTCACTAAGGGTCGCTTGGGTTTATCGGTTCTCATCGTGTTGATCTCAGCTTCTCCCATGTCCCAGTGTCATTTTGCATCCCGATCTGTGTCTGATTGCAACTGTTCCCAATATGGTGTCCTCTGAAAATTCTCTGGGTATAACCTCTGCTAGTCAGAAGAAACTGATTCTTCTCTGAATATTTCTTTTTTAGTATCTCTTGGAAGACAAGAATTTTGTAAGAATCACTTATCTCTGAGATAAAGCCCAGCTTTCTGACAAGCAATGTGTTTACAGGATTTATGACTGATAATCTCTCATGATTAGGAGCCCGAAATACAGGTATATTATGATGGAAATGAAGGAGCACAGAGGACTACAGGTTAGAAAATACTAACTTTCCTTGCAGCAAACAGAAAAATAATCTTTTCCACTTATTAAAGGAGTGAAATGGCTTTTTTTTCTCATATAAATTTGTATACTTAATGTGTATGTATAGAAGTACAGGAAAACATAGTGTAAGTAGGGCGTGGATATTTTTCTCTGCTCATATCTAATATAGATGTTTTTGTACACTTTGAAATTAGCATGATTTATTTATCAGAGCTACAGTTGGAAGTAGTGCATATACCTGTGTGCAAAAAAATGCTTAGAAAAGCTCTGCACAGCAAATGATACCAAATCACTGAGAGCTCTGCTTCTAGCTGAGAGATATATCAGTTCTTAACCTTTATTATCATTTACAAATACCATTGAAAGTTGACGTGTATAATTTAGGGAGAAACAAACTACTGATAAGGGCTGTTAATTAATTAAGAAATAAACTCCAGAGGCAAACTACTGTTTGTAAGAAATGCCAAAGGCAGAAGACTTACTCATTAGTGCATATTCAGATAAGTCATTTAATGTACACAATAAGCATCAAAAGCAACTGGAAGAAGAAATTAAATATTTTCACAGCAAAATAATATGCTACATACAGATGGAAATCTGGTTGATTCAGACTGAATGTGCTGCTGAATGTGCAACATCTGTAGGGATCAGTCTTGAAAAGGCTTAAGAACGTGCTTGAATGTAAGTATGAAAATAGAAATTACTTTTATGCTTACAGCTGATTATGTCATTAAATTTTTGCATAACCAGAGCCATAGCTTGTTATCAAAGATTACATTACTGACAACATAAATAACATTTAAATTAATATTGAAATGGATTTGGTTTTGAGTTTGAGTTTAAACATTTCTACAGTCTTTGGTTGATAGCTTGTATGTCACAGTATTTACTAAGCAACATTTTATTTATATGCAACTATTTTAACCATAGTGATTTAACAGCTATGTTGAGCATAGGGGTAGTTCAACTAAGGAGCATATACTTTATTTCAGGAAGAAAGAATTCACACTTCTTCTTTCCTAGAAGGAAAAAAAAAAAAAAAAAGAAAGAATATACATTTTGGTTTTGAATGGAGAAGAATATGTTAGAAAAATAAGTATATGTGGAATGTACCAGTGTCCTGCTGTAGAAACATGCATAACATGAAAATCAAGCAAACTTTTTTTTTTCTCTCCCTTTCTGTTCTTATAGATCTGTCCAGTTTTCTCGTAGAGTTTAACTCTTTTTTATCCATTACATTTTCATGTGCTGTAAGCCTTGTGCAAACTGAATGCAAAATGGTGGTGTGATTTTGAAATCAACACCACTTACTTTTCTCAGGTATGGAATGGCTAGAGGAAAATCCTGTCCACAGGAAAATCAGACTAAGATTCAGGCTAAAAATCATCATCAAACTACAGAAATAATTACTGCCATCACTAGGCCCTGAAGATTAGTATTCCATGATCTGAAAGAGTATTTATCATTTATATCTGTAACTGCATATAAATTACAGAGAATTTTGAAGATAAATGATAGAGAAAGTGTTGGAGCATTTTATTTCATACGTTTATAAATATTAAAATGTAATTTCACCAACATTTACCTAAGCAAAGTACACGGTGAGGTTTATTCTGTCTAAATTCTGCAGCCCACCTCATCCTCTCTGGTGGGAGTGATTTCTTTCATCAGCTCAAAAATTCTGCCTCTGACCTCAAAAGAATAAGCAGATTTAATACAAAATGCTGAAATCTTCTTCATCTACTTTGTTAATGTTGAATGTTCCCTCCCTGCCTCCTGAGACTTTTCTTTGTGTGCAGATCATGCTTCAATTCCTCAGCTGAGGAAATCAGCTGTGACCTAAAGAGAAGCAATGTCCAAATCTGGTCCTTCTCAGAAGATTTGGGGACCCTGCAGTGATCTGCCTGAAAGTTGCATGTGTCTTGTGGCTCTATTCCCCTGGAAGAGACAGCTCTGAGAGTCAGAGGCCACTAAAGCTGTGCATCAGAGTCCCCTGGGAAGGGAAACACAGGAAAGGGTGGTTTACAAGTTCTACAGCAGTGTGATACCACCTAAAACCATTCCATCTTTCCTGGAAATTCCCCGTGGGATTAGAGAATATGAAGCATTTTTTCTCCCTGCCTCTCTGCCTGGTTCTTCCTTACGCTTCCTGAAATGTCTCAAACAAAGAGGGAGGCTTCTTGTGTGTCCTTTCTACAGAAATGGTTGAAGCCCATGAACAGGATCTTTCTGTGCATGATCCTGCAAGCTGAACTGCAGTCTGTATTAATAAACACAGTTAAGCAGTGTGCTGCTAATGCAGAAATATTATGGTAGGACAGCTCTTCCAAGTCCTGGTGGTGATTCTCACTTTGCACTCCTTTATCATCAGAAATAATACGAGCATGCTCTCAAATACTACTGAAAAGATACTTAAAAAACCATAGTGAATAGTGGTAATTCCAGTCCACTCATGATGAATGAACACAAAGACGTGGTTTTCAATGCCAGGACACTGGACTGTGGTTTTGAGACAATTCTTTTCTGAAGAAATATTTATCATCACATTACCTCATCCCACCTGTTACTTAAAGAATGAGGGTCTCACAGCTAAATAAGTCAAATAATTTAATATCATTGTGTCTGTGTTTTGAAGGCTAGAACATTGAGTGTTTGATAAAAACACAAATATTATGGAAAACACAAACAATGTGTCCTTTCTGAGAAGGCAGTCTTGTATACACCATGATTGAATCTTGTTCCAACTAAAGTTTATTGCAATGTAAAACACCTCTTACGAAGAGGTGTGTTCTCTGTGAAAGCAGAAAGAATTAACTTACCACTTAAAAATTCTTCTTATACAACTGGAGTGCTTTCCCAGCTATGTATTCAATGAACTCAGGACTCTTGGGATCTAAGTTGGGAGGAACTTTAATGGTGAAAGTAGGTGAAGTCAGAATGTTCACATCTACCACAGTTTCGTCTTTACTGGAGGGATCCCCAGGTACCACCTAGAAGAGATCAGTACTTTAGACGCTACAAACTGCTGTGTGCTTTCAGTTTTGTTTATACCTACTGTGCCCACTCCCTGTAATATGGGAAAATTAAATAGGGGAATATTTTAGGCTTGTCTACTTTCTTTAAATTGCTTTCTTCTGAAAAGACAGAGGGTGTCTGAATTTATGTAGGTGGTGGAAAGAGCTGACATGGCACTGCCAAGACCATATTAAAGAACTGCATGTTAATATTTATACCATGAGCTACATCTATAAAGAGCTTCTGTTCTCCTAATGAAAACTTCTGAGCTGTCCCACTAAGTTCAATACAACATTTGTGTGATGGAATTTATTCATTCCTATGTGTTTTTCTAAATCAAACTTAGTTCTGTAGCTTTATTTTTCTAGAAGAGATATCTCAAAATCAGTTGGGAAAGTGTGTCTGTTTCCTGTTCCTATTTTGTGCTTTTTTTTATGGATTGTACCATCATTTTTGTATAAAGTTCTGGTAGTAATAGTAATTCACTATGGATTCAATGGATTTCTAAGTTAGAAGAGAGACTAAGATTTGTCCCTTGCCCAGGAAAATGGATTGACTTTACCTTGGATGTATCTTTGTGTGTGAGACACAAATAACCATTATGTATTTACTGAAATATTGACCGATGTTATCAAGCATGTTCAGCTTCCACTGCAAAAATCTGTATAACATTTGCCTTCTTTGAACTTCGGAATATATAAATACAGACACAGATAGCTAGACATTCATCGATCCAATATGGATGTGTTAGTGACTGGTGCAGTGCGATTTATCTGTGAAGGTAATCTGAGGCCAGTCAAAGCCGCTAGTATCAATTTACTCTTATCAGACAGTGACTCAGGTTAGCCTGTCAGCCATCCATCAGTCTAAAAGGATTTAGAGGAAAATAGTTTCTAATCTCAGGAGTTTCAGCTCATCGAGGGATTACCAAACATACACAAATTCAAGATGAGTAGGAACATCGTGTTGTAAATCCAAACATTACAAACATCCACAACCCCCAGGAGCGTAAGCATGAGCAAAATGCAGGTTAAAGGCAGCAACAGCTCCCTTCAGAAGACAACCCTTACCTTAACTATGTTGAAAATGTTTTCTGGTCCGATGGTCATGTTGGATAACTCAGACACCCACCCAAATCTTTCTTTCATTTTGTTCAACAAGTAAGAAGTGTCCTCTGTGTGATGCCGAACCACCTGGAGAATCTGCTCGTACTGCTCCCCTGAGAGATTAACCAGCTTAAAGGCTTCATCAAACTTTATGTGCAGCTCAGGAACATTTGGGCAATCTGTTAGAAAAGACAGTGTTATGTCTTGTACTTCGTCTTCTCTGTCTGAAGAAATAAAAACTAAAAAAAGTCTAGTGAGAAGGCATGGTTTGGATGTATCTTTAAATAATGCTGAAAAAAGGAGAATAATTTTTGCTGACTTATGGTAGATTTAGTTTAGACTTGATGACTAAATGAATCCGTTATCCCATTTGTTATATTAAAGTGATTTACTATATATCATATAGTATAAGGTTTATATCATATTTTATGGTAATAGATCTTATGTTAATGCTAAATAAGGTCTGGTAAATTTTACACATAGCAACTTCATAGTCTTCTTATACATTATGGGTTTTTTTTATTGGCTCATATTCCATTATGAATCTATCCCAAGCATATAGACTGCAAGGCAGGGGCTGAGGGAGCAAAATTCCTTCCACTGTAAGAGAAGATCAGTTTTGAATCCATGTGAAGAACCTTAACATATCTAAGTCTGTGTGTCCAGAGGGAATTGGCTGATGTAGCTACTCTCCAGGATATTTGAGAAGTCATGGAAGAGAGGTGACTAGGAAAATGGAAGTAATTAACTGATTTTTACAAAGGGTTGTAAGAAGGACCCTGAGGACTACCACCTTGTCAGCCTCAGCTCTGTGCCTGGAAAGATCATGGAACAGATCCTCCAAGAAGCTCTGCTCAGGCACATGGAAGATAGGGAGGCAATTCGGGACAGCCAACAGAACTTCACCAAGGGCAAGTCCTGCCTGACCAACCAGTGGCCTTCTATGATGGAGTGATTCCATCAGTGGAGAAGGAAAGGATTAGTGAAGTCATTTATCTGTACTTCTGTAAGGTCAGTGACACAGTCCCCCACAACATCCTTCTCCCTAAATTGGAGAGATATGGATTTGTTGGGTGGAATGTTTGGTGGATGAGGAATTGCGTGGATGGTCATATCCAGAGGGGAGTGGCCAATGTTTTCATGCCCAGAGAGACATCACAGGAAATCCCATCCCTTAGGAGTCTGTATTGGGACCAGTACTTTTTAATGTCTTCATCAATGACATGGACAGGGGGATTGAGTGAACCCCTGGCATGTTCACAGAAGACACCAAGCTAAGTGGTGTGGTTGACTCACCCGGGATGGAATGCCATGCAGAAGGACCTGAACAAGCTCATGAAGTGGGCCCAAGTGAACCTCATGAGGTACAGCAAGGCCAAGTGCAAGGTGCTGCACCTTGCTGTGGAGCTTCTGCTATCAACAGAGGCTGGGGCATGAACAGATTTAGAGCCGCCCTGCCAAGAAGGACTTGGGGGTGCTGATGGATGAAAAGCTGGACATGAACTGGCCATGTGTGTTCACAGCCCAGAAAGACAAATGATCCTGGGCTGTATCAAAAGAATCGTGGCCAGCATGTTGAGGGAGGTAATTTTGCCCCCCCACTCTTCTCTCACAAGACCCCTGAAGCATTTCATCCAGGTCTGGACTCCTGTATTGGTTTGGCTCCTCTAAGGAGCTTCTAGAAGCTTCCCACCATTCCCACCGTCTGGCAGAGCCAATCCCTGATGGCTCTGAAGATGGACAGGCTGCTGGCCAAAACTGGGCCAATGAGTGAGGTTGGTAATGCCTCTGTGATGACATATTTAAGAAGAAAATCAAAACAAAGTCATGGGATTTTGCTTCTTGTCAGAGAAGAGGAGGAGGTGAGAACAGGTGAGGGAAACAACACGGAGACACCAAGGTCAGTGGAGAAGGAGGGGCAGGAGGTGCTCCAGGTGCCGGAGCCAAGATTCCTCTGCAGGCCGTGGTGAGACCATGGTGCAGCAGCTGTGCCCTGCAGCCCCTGGGGATCCATGGGGGATGCAGAGATCCACCCACAGTCCCTGGGGATCCATGGGGGATGCAGAGATCCACCCACAGTCCATGGGGATCCATGGGGGATGCAGAGATCCACCCACAGTCCCTGGGGATCCATGGGGGATGCAGAGATCCACCCACAGTCCATGGGGATCCATGGGGGATGCAGAGATCCACCCACAGCCCATGGGGATCCATGGGGGATGCAGAGATCCACCCACAGTCCATGGGGAGGTGCCCACACTGGAGCCATGAATGCCTGGAGGAGGCTGTGATCCAGTGGGAGACCCAGTGGAGAGAGTGGCCCTGCTTCCAGGCTGGAGAGGCCTGTCCTTGGAGAGCTGCACCCCATGGAAGAATGACCCACGCTGTGGCAGTTTTGGGAGGACTGTGTGCCCGTGGGGAGAGTTCACGTTGCAGCAGGTGCCGTGAGGCTGCTGCTCGTGAGAGTGGCCCCACACGGGAGAAGTTCATGGAGAACTGTCTCCTGAGGGAGGGACCCCCGGGCTCACAGGGGAAGGACTCCTCTCCCAGAGCAGCTGAAGGAAATCTCAGTGCTGAACTGACCCAGAAACCCCCATGTACTGTCCCCTGAGCTGTCAGTGGGAAAGAGGGTGGGGCTGGGGGGGAGAACGTGTTTTAAGGGCTTATTTGACTTCTCTTAATCCACCTCAGATTCTGTTAGCAATGAATTTCTTAGTCTGCTGAGCCTGCTTTGCCCTTGAAATATTTCTCCCAGTCCTTATTTCACTCATGAAGCCTTCATTAGTTTTTTCTTTTTCCCTTTTTTCCCTCCTCTACCCAGCTGTGGCAGAGGAGGGTGAGCAAGCAACTCTGGTGGGGGCCTGATGCTGGCAAACCGACGTGTCAAACTACAATAATGGAATTCTTGTGTAGACAACACATGACCTTACTGAGGTAGCAGTAACCCTGCTCTGTGGAGTCCTGCTGAGGTGCCACAGCAGTCAGTGCATGCTAGCAAACACATTTTTCCCAAGGGGCTGAGAACACTGAATGGGTTGTGGTTGTGAGGGGTGTTGTGGCTCGTGTGTGCTGCCATACAGTCCCAGCTTGATGCTGTTGAGATCCAGCGGAAGCAGAGGTTTCTTCACAGTGCTCCTGGGACCTCCCAGAGCAGGGGTGAGTGCAGGCAGAAGCCATCAGGGATCTCTCCACTCTCTACAGACTAAGCATACTCTAGATCAGTGGGCATTCCCATTGAACTGCAATACTTAAACGTTATTTAGTTGGATTAAGATGAGAAGTGCTGCAGCCATAATGACATTATGATATTGCTCCCCATTGATTGCTAGGGGGTAGAGAGAGAGAAATAATGCCTCTTGTTACAGCTGGGAAAGGTAGTCAGGCTTACAGACAAGTGAGCTGTATACTTTCAGGTATATAGGCATGTTTTGGTGAAAGCTGGAATTTAAAAAAACTATAGATTTGGCTAGGAGAACTGATCTTTTAAGAAATCCTTCAATTCCTTAAAAATTACATTATTAGGTGTTTATTGGTATAGTTGTATGACTAATAGCTCTTTCCAAACCATTTAGTTCAATTTGCCTCACTTCACCACTGAATGATCTACTATATACTGGTATTTGCTGTAAATTAGCATAGTCCCCACCATTTTAACTCACACAACTCTCCTGTGTAGGTCCTCAAGAGTCTTCAAGAGTAAATTTCATGTTAACATCTTTGTAATTGGAAAGGCTGAGGGGAACCAATGGGGCTAATCCCTCAAAGTATATAGTGAATGTTTCTTCTAACACCTATTATACTTTCTAAGTGGGCTATTATGGTTTTATATATCCTCACTGATAAAATTTATTTGCTCTTAAGTGATTTTGAATTAAGATGGGAATAGAACTTAAAATGGTAAAAGTAGCACTTTCACACTAAACGCACATGATTGTTTTGGCCTGGAGCCCAAGAAGAACAAAGAATTTTTCTCTGCTATAAGCTTCAGCATTAATATTTTTCAAACTCTAAACACTTGCCAAAGAGCTAAAGATGCCTTTTCTCTCTCCTTCTATGTGTTTTGAGCTCTATTGCTTTTTGATGCACTCTCCTATGGCTACTAGTGTCTCTAAATAGTTTAATTCTGGAAGTGTGATTAAGTGGAATATGCACAGATGTCTAAAGCAGAGACTTGGTCAGGTCATTTGTCATTAAAAAAACTGTATTTTGTTTTGGCTATTCCAATCATTGTGTCCAAACCTTGCCCAGGGAAAATTAAGGGTACTAAAAGGCCTGCTTCACCAGATTGTTATAGGCATGTGAGTATAGTTCATTCATGAATAGAAATACAATTCAGGACACCTAAATTTCATTCCTGTTATTGTCAGCCAGTAATGGACCTTAAGTCCCCTCTAAGCTGTTACATTTGTCATGCCTGGATGACCTACCCTGGTGCCTGTAGAAAACTTAAATAGGAGAGGGAAGGTCTGGTTTGAGTAAATGGTGTTACCTCAAGGTAAGTGCTATGGAACTGAAGTTTCAGAGTGAGTCAGTCATTGGCACTCCAATTTGTTCTAAATCTGAACATTAGAAGTTAATTTGTTTAGGACCAAATTCTGGTTTAATGCTTAGGATTTAGGAGTGGCTAGTTCGTGATAGGGTTGATAAAGCATTTTAGCAGATATAGGATGAGCCACTGATACATGGGAGCAGAATCAAACATGGAAAAGAAACTTGTGTGGAAGGATCCTGGGGACAGGAGCAGGAGCAGTGTGCAATGTTGTTTCTGATGCCTTTGCAGGAGTGAGGTCTGGAGGAGAAGGTGCTAATGAGAAGCAGTTGGCATGCCAGCCCTTCATCTATCAAATGTGTGCTGTGTCCTTCGGTGCCCCTGCACCCTGGCAGGATCAGCAGGCCTGTGGCAGATGTAGGCAGTCTGAACAAGTGTCACTGTAATTGCATTGAAGGTTCATTGCAAAATAAAATAGTGAATGTCACCTTACTTGCTAGAGACAGAGGGTAGAGTCTGATGTCCTCCATAACATCCCTGCCTTGGCCTAGGTCTTGACAAACCATGATCAGTTTATAGCTGAGATGATCCAAATACTTGGCATCATAAAGGTCTGTATGTATCAAAGAGAAACCCTGCTGTACTTGTTGCAGAACGTATATTCTGAAGAGGGCAGTGATTCACAACAGGCTTCCTCAAGTGACCACAATTGGTACTAAATACCTTGGTTTTGGTGACAGCGAAGATCTCTGAGTTGGATCAGCCACAGATTTTAATTATCAGCATATGCTTCCTTGATGAGTTTCTTGCGAAAGATTTTGCTACATGCCTTTTTTCATGCATGAGTACTGATTATATTACATGCTCAGGCCAAAATTGGCACTTGCTTCCCTCACTGACATAGTTCCATGTGTTTTGTATTCCTCTTAATTTGCTTTTGTAGACATCCACACTTCAGTCAGGTTTATCCCAAATGCTTAGTTGTGCATTGATAGGATATCATCACAAGGTGCATGCATGTTTATGAGTTACATTGAGAACAGTGGAGGTATTTGTACCATTTCAAATGTATCTTCTTTACACTTCTCTATGTGGATTTGCAGAATATAATAATATTCTAATATTTCCCTAATATTTCCAATGTGTTGCATATTGCATGGCAAAGAGAGGGCTTTACAACATGTATTTGCCATCAAGGACAAGATCTTGGCAGGTGACTTCACTGACCCTTCACAGAACAGATGAAGAATTCACAAATAACTTGCAAAGGTGAGATTTTACAGTTGCTTTGTCCAAAATGCAATAAACAAGAAAGTATCACTGTGAGGGATGGGTCAAGAGAAGTTCAAGAGAAAGCAAGAAAAGAGTTCAGTCCACTTTTCCCCAGTTCCAGAGTGTGAGATGATTTTCCCTGTCTAAAAGTCTGTGGTAAATTTTTAGGCACTAAGTGTTAATGCAGGTACAGACTCCTCTATGAGCTGATAACAGTGGGGCACGGGGCACTGACCTAATAGCATTCAGGCACCAAGACACTTCAGAGCAGCAGAAGTGAGTAAATTGAAATCCCCATGATCCATGGTAAAACTAATGTGGCAGTGTCTGTCAGGTCAGGCAGCCCCTGGTG